ATGGGAGTAATTAAAATTTTTTTTTTGAAGTTGCTTAATTGATTGAACAATATTAGAAAAATTTGTTGGATTGTTACTCTTATTTAAATTATCCTTATTATTGAAAACAAAATTTTTAAAGTCATAATAAACACCCCATTTCCATTCTGTTAACATACCTAAAGGTAAAGAGAATCTATTTGATATCTTTAAACAAAAACTATTGAGATAATTAAGAAAGTATTTTAGAAATTTATTGATTGATATATAGTAAATGGGCCTAAACTTTGTGCCTTTTATCATTAAATTCCTAGGTTCCAAGTTTTCTATAATATTTAAATTACCAGTAATAATATGTTTATGATGTTTATCAACAAAATCAAAATATTTCTCTTCCTCACAGTGACATTCATAATCGGATATATTAATACTCCCAAAATTTTCTTATATCATTATAATTAAATATAGTTCTACCAAGAGATTTATTATATTTAAAACTTTTAATTATGTTAAAATCTTTTAATGGAAATAAAGCTTTAAAATTTTCAAAAATGTTGTGAAATTTGATCTTATTGAAAATAGGATTTTGAAAGTTAATAACGAAACATAAATTATCTAAACTTTTCTTTTTACTTGGCGAAAATTTGCTCAATTTGGCTTTTATAAGATCGAAACAAAGAATTTTGAAATGTAAATAATTAAAAGAAAAGTTAATAATAAGATCGTAGAACTTATATGCATCATAATTCTTAAGGGAGAAGACAAAATCTTTTATTGGTTTAATGTTATCCATTTCGGGCAAATCCGTGGCTAAAATTATTTGCAAAACAGGCAATTTATGTTTCTCTTTTCTATTTTATATTTTCTTAAATAAATATTTATTTTCTTATATTATTCATGGTCAACTATTTAAATTATCCAGAATAGTATTACCTTGTGCGCATCAATTTCGGGCCCATCCTTGGTAATTAACAAATCAATGCACAGCATAACAAATCACTTCAGCAATGCAGTTAGAACGGCATTTTTAAATTCCTCTAGTTACACTCAATTTGCTCTTTTGTTTTCATATTTTGTAATCTAGCAATCTTGTTGCGAAAATACTTTTAAATCATTCTTGAAAAATTTCCCGTTCATGTAAGTACATCTGATTTCGCTACTCACTTTATAGTTTTTGTTTCGTTTTATTCGCGATCGCAACGAACTATAGGGGGCGTTGTTGTATGAGACTAATACCTGCGATTTCTATATGAACAGTCATTCAGTTACTCTAGAGACGTCGTTAATGTAGCATGTAACATTGCAACTTTCCTTCTTTATTGTGGCTAATTAAATTTAAAAAAGAAAAATGCTTGATATTCTATCTTATGCAAACGAAAACAAAATGGTATCTCTTTTATTAGAGAAGGAACATCCAAAACACATCGGAAAAATATTTGTACATTAACAGAAAAAAATATGTATATTCTTATAAGTGTTAAAACCTAATGCCCGAGAAATAGTATTACTAAATTTAATGATACAGCATGAAAGGCCTATTTAAGCTTTACATTCCATAGTTTTAAGAATCATATTACTTCAAAAATTAAAATGAACAAAAAGTATACATAAGCCTCATAATTTTATGAAATTTAATTTTGTAAACAAAGTTTTTTGACAACAATTTTTATCAAAAAATTTCAAGTTTCTATGTATAAATCATTATTTAGAAACTAAGAAACGTAAAATAAAGAATGCTGACGAAACAAAAACAAAAAAACAATGTAATTTTAGAAT